ATGTATTTTTAAAATTATAGGAATCAAAGAGAGGCTATATTTGCTAATTGCACAATTAATTTAGAAATTAGAATAGTTGGACTGCATGTTGGACTTCAACATATTCTGTAATGTTTCAATAATGTATTTAATTATTCTATGCAATCAGTTTGACTTTGATTCGATCACGGTTGAACCATATGACCCTCGAACATTACCCCTTGACCCTTTAATTTTTTTGGATTGATGCCCAGTTCGATTTTTAAAACATTGATTTGACTTATATTTAATCAATTTATTAACACATTTTGAAGTATCCACAAATAATATCAATTTATTTACAATTCATTTTTATCTATATAAAGTGATGGATGATAATATTTTGGTAAGTTCAGCGACAACTTGTAAAAATTTTAAAGTTCAATAACAATTAAAAGATATTAATAAAAATCCAATATCAGATGAGAAATTTAACCCATAGGTAGGATATAAATTAGAAGTGTTTGAATCTAATAAATAATTGAGCATTTTAAAAGTTCAAAATTACTATTTGAATTTATTTATGAATAATGCTATGTAGCTCCATTACGATTACAACTTCAATTTAAGTGGTCACTAGATAATATGCTAAATGAAAGGTTGAATTAATGACTTATTTAATTTTATATATCATTTAATACCACATTAACATCACCTAGATTGGATTGTAATCTCAATGGAGTCAAGTAGCATTACTCTTTATTTATGTGTGTGAATTGACAAAGTACATGTCTAATAAAAGTATAGAAAAGTGTTTAAAATATGGCTTTGTTTGATTCCCATTCTTTCCAAAATCTGGTTTAAAGGTATTTGAGCCCTATTTTTATGAAAAAATGTATTTTAAAATAGTAGATTGATGAGAAATGTGTAGTTGAAAAATAAGGAAAAAAATTTAATTTACGTGTATATTATTTTAATGAATAATGTGTGGTTGAAAAGAAGATAGGGAAAAATATATTTTAGAAAGAATAAGAATCAAATAAGGATATTTTAAACATTTTTCCACACATTTATCAAACATGTACTTTGTCAATTCACACACATAAATAAAGAGTAATGCTACCTAACTTCATTGTAATTACAACTCCAGTTTAGGTGACATTAATGTGACATTAAATGTTATGTAGAATTAAATAAGTCATTTAATTTAACATTTCATTTAACCTATCATCTTACGACCACCTAAATTAGAGTTGTAATTCTAGTTGAGCTACATAGCATTATTCATAAAATAAATTCAAATAGTAATTTTGAACTTTTAAAATGCTCAATTATTTTTTAAATTCTAGCAATTCTAATTTTATATCCTACTATGGGTTAAATTACTCGATGGACATTGGATTTTTATTAATGTCTTTTTAATTGTTATTGAACTTTAAAATTTTTACAAGTTGTCGTTGAACTTATTAAAATATTATCATCCGTTACTTACTATTTCAACAATTAATAGACTTATGAATATATCAAAATTTTATCTCATCTATCATTCATTCTACTATGTTATCAAGTTAAATTTTGAAATGGTGAGTATCAAGTGAACGGATGCAAAAGTATTTTACATTTAAATGACAATCGGAAAACAGTTGACAAAATTCATTACCACTCGGAAAGCCTTTAACGTTAATGACAATTGAGAGAGAGTTAAGAAAATTCGATGGTAATTAGGTTTTAACCTTCCCACCATCCGTCGATTACTTCACTTGTAGGACTTCAATTTTTAGCCATTTGCATCAATTTACTAATTTAACCCATAGGTAGGATATAAATTAGAAGTGTTTGAATCTAATAAATAATTGAGCATTTTAAAAGTTCAAAATTACTATTTGAATTTATTTATGAATAATGCTATGTAGCTCCATTACGATTACAACTTCAATTTAAGTGGTCACTAGATAATATGCTAAATGAAAGGTTGAATTAATGACTTATTTAATTTTATATATCATTTAATACCACATTAACATCACCTAGATTGGATTGTAATCTCAATGGAGTCAAGTAGCATTACTCTTTATTTATGTGTGTGAATTGACAAAGTACATGTCTAATAAAAGTATAGAAAAGTGTTTAAAATATGGCTTTGTTTGATTCCCATTCTTTCCAAAATCTGGTTTAAAGGTGTTTGAGCTCTATTTTTATGAAAAAATGCATTTCAGAATAGTAGATTGATGGGAAATGTGTAGTTGAAAAATAAGAAAAAAATTTAATTTACGTTTATATTATTTTAATGAATAATGTGTGGTTAAAAAGAAAATAGGAAAAATGTATTTTAGAAAGAATAAGAATCAAACAAGGATATTTTAAACATTTTCCCACACATTTATCAAATATGTACTTTGTCAAGTCACACACATAAATAAAGAGTAATGCTACCTAACTTTATTGTGATTACAACTCCAGTCTAGGTGACATTAATGTGACATTAAATGTTATGTAAAATTAAATAAGTCATTTAATTTAACATTTCATTTAACCTATCATCTTACGACCACCTAAATTAGAGTTGTAATTCTAGTTGAGCTACATAGCATTATTCACAAAATAAATTCAAATAGTAATTTTGAACTTTTAAAATGCTCAATTATTTTTTAAATTCTAGCAATTCTAATTTTATATCCTACTATGGGTTAAATTACTCGATGGACATTGGATTTTTATTAATGTCTTTTTAATTGTTATTGAACTTTAAAATTTTTACAAGTTGTCGTTGAACTTATTAAAATATTATCTGTTACTTACTATTTCAACAATTAATAGACTTACGAATATATCAAAATTTTATCTCATCTATCATTCATTCTACTATGTCATCTAGTTGACTTCTGAAATGGCGAGTAACAAGTGAACGGATGCAAAAGTATTTTACATTTAAATGACAATCGGAAAACATTTGACAAAATTCATTACCACTCGGAAAGCCTTTAACGTTAATGACAATTGAGAGAGAGTTAAGAAAATTCAATGGTAATTAGGTTTTAACCTTCCCACCATCCGTAGATTACTTCACTTGTAGGACTTCAATTTTTTTGCCATTTGCATCAATTTACTTATATAATACAATTCAAACTTTATTATTTCTTTACTAAAAATTAAATCATTGAATCTGCCACTAGATACCTTGAATTCAAAGGGAAAAGCCAAACGATCTGCGTCGTTGACACTCCGGATGACCACACCCTCACATGACCGACGTGGGTTCCCCACGAATAAAATAATCTCAATCTCATGTGTGTGTATTATGTGAACCACGCGATCACCTGTACGGACTATGTAGCTCGGTCCGAATTCAAATATGCTATCTTGAATTTTTTATTCCATTGCCCCCAACTATATTTCTTGGTACCTTTGACATCTTCTTACCTTTTTGTGAGAAGATGTGAAGTAATCTATCGAGATATCAAAAATATATTAAAATCACAATATCATTATATAAAAATTCTTTTTTTTTTATATACTTATTTTCAATTACATATTTATATGATAAAATATTGTGCGCGTAAATTCAAAATTTTTCTCACTTTCTACCGTTCTTTGAAAATACTATTCAAAATATTATTATTTTTTCTATATATATAAAGGTCTTCAAACAGGGCTAAATTTAGAATATCGGATTCCGAACACTACTTCGATCAGATCACCGACTTTAAAAACAATGATGTGAAATTAACACAATGAAAGAAAATTGACCAAAATTGAAACCTCCTCGGCCCATCTCCTTAAATTGCGCTATCTTTTACAGTTTTTAACCCAACCATTCCCCATTTGTAACAGGTCTATAATATCCCCTCTTGTCTCCTCAAATCTACTGTATTTCAGTGCGTACTCGGACTCCGTGCTAAGAAATCGATACCTTCACATGTAACACCGTAACGAGAAGCTCGCACTTCCCATGTGATGATTATGGGCCCCTTCCCCACTCCCCTCGAAACCAGACAAAATACACAAACTATAGTGTCAATTGGATTTTTATTAATGTCTTTTTAATTGTTATTGAACTTTAAAATTTTTACAAGTTGTCGTTGAACTTATTAAAATATTATCTGTTACTTACTATTTCAACAATTAATAGACTTACGAATATATCAAAATTTTATCTCATCTATCATTCATTCTACTATGTCATCTAGTTGACTTCTGAAATGGCGAGTAACAAGTGAACGGATGCAAAAGTATTTTACATTTAAATGACAATCGGAAAACATTTGACAAAATTCATTACCACTCGGAAAGCCTTTAACGTTAATGACAATTGAGAGAGAGTTAAGAAAATTCAATGGTAATTAGGTTTTAACCTTCCCACCATCCGTAGATTACTTCACTTGTAGGACTTCAATTTTTTTGCCATTTGCATCAATTTACTTATATAATACAATTCAAACTTTATTATTTCTTTACTAAAAATTAAATCATTGAATCTGCCACTAGATACCTTGAATTCAAAGGGAAAAGCCAAACGATCTGCGTCGTTGACACTCCGGATGACCACACCCTCACATGACCGACGTGGGTTCCCCACGAATAAAATAATCTCAATCTCATGTGTGTGTATTATGTGAACCACGCGATCACCTGTACGGACTATGTAGCTCGGTCCGAATTCAAATATGCTATCTTGAATTTTTTATTCCATTGCCCCCAACTATATTTCTTGGTACCTTTGACATCTTCTTACCTTTTTGTGAGAAGATGTGAAGTAATCTATCGAGATATCAAAAATTTATTAAAATCACAATATCATTATATAAAAATTCTTTTTTTTTTATATACTTATTTTCAATTATATATTTATATGATAAAATATTGTGCGCGTAAATTCAAAATTTTTCTCACTTTCTACAGTTCTTTGAAAATACTATTCAAAATATTATTATTTTTTCTATATATATAAAGGTCTTCAAACAGGGCTAAATTTAGAATATCGGATTCCGAACACTACTTCGATCAGATCACCGACTTTAAAAACAATGATGTGAAATTAACACAATGAAAGAAAATTGACCAAAATTGAAACCTCCTCGGCCCATCTCCTTAAATTGCGCTATCTTTTACAGTTTTTAACCCAACCATTCCCCATTTGTAACAGATCTATAATATCCCCTCTTGTCTCCTCAAATCTACTGTATTTCAGTGCGTACTCGGACTCCGTGCTAAGAAATCGATACCTTCACATGTAACACCGTAACGAGAAGCTCGCACTTCCCATGTGATGATTATGGGCCCCTTCCCCACTCCCCTCGAAACCAGACAAAATACACAAACTATAGTGTCAAAGCTAGTCTCTCGTTCTTCTTTGAAGGTCTTTACACTACGAGTCCTGGTTTTTTGACCCAGTTTTGTGCAGTTGCAGAAATTTGAGATATAGATCAAGAATCCTATATCCACAAAATCACTGGAGAAAAGGACGGAAAGCCACATCAAGAATTTGGGTTTTGAAGATCTTTGGAATTTTAGTTTCTGAAAATGAAGGCGGCAATGGATGTAGCTTTGAATCCTTCACCAGTCATATCTTTTGACCATAAGAGGTACCGCGAATGTCTTTGAGCTACATGCCGCTCATTTCTTGGTGATTTCTTGCATTTCTTTCCCTTTTGATTTGATCGGTTGCTCAATCGCCAATTCAGCTTTTCACACTTGTTTCCTTTCATTTTATCTTCTTTTCTCCGTATTCTGAAATGGGTTATTGGGATATTGCCTTTTGTGTTTTATTTATAAAGGTGATTCTTGAATCTTGATTTAACTGAATATTCCTAAAGTTTAGAGATTTGAATTAATATATGTGTATATTAATGAGAGTGAGTGTTTTTAGTGCTTTTTTCCCCCCTCCAATTTTAAAAAAATAACTCAAATCATAATATAATATTGATTCGACTTATAATCCCTTTTTTTTTTTTTTTGAACTTAAAGTACACAGATTTGTTTTTGTCCAAACTTATTAATTCCTTTGGATGTGATGTTTAACAGTAATGTTTTGTAATTGGGATTCCTTTCATTCCTTCAGACTTTTGTGAATTAAAGTTTGAGGCTTAACTGTGGGATGTGAAATGAGGTGGAGTAGATTAGACTGTGGTAGGACAATGCTGGGTGTAATGCTAATCGGGATAGTGTCATGATGGAGGCAAAAAGAGGGAAGATCAGTTATACTGGGGAAGGGAGAGAAAAGCACCAGAGCAAGGAAGAGGAATGAAGAAGGAACTTCAACTGTTAATCAAGTTTCAAATTCTGCACGGCATCATTTTATATTGAGATTTAATTGTAATAGCTTAAGTGCATTTTATATAAAACGTGTTCCCAAAAATCCAATTTCTATTCTGTTATAACCACAGGTGGAGGGAAAGGGTGTGAAGAATCATTTTAGAAAATCTCGTCTCTGAACTCTCTCCGCATTTCTGTTTTTCCAGTTTATTTGTTCTTTATCTCTGTAATTGCATTCTGAATTTTTAATTGAAGAGCTGGGTGTTGAGAATTTCAATTGGAATATGTCTGTGTTGTTGAAATTTACGAGTTCTGGGTGAGATTTTTAGCTCAACCATTACAAATTGGTATCAAAGCAGCAACGGATCTGGGAATGGTGGAAATTCGGAGTAAATCGAATGAAGAACACCTTAAGAGGTTGGATAACGAAATAGCAGATTTGGGAGTGGTCTTCAAAACCAATGATCAATTGCTGCAAGCCGTTTGTACTAGACAGGATTGGGTGGAGCAGCTGCTGGGTAAAATGAAGGCTACTCAAGAATCGACGGTGGTAATGTTAACTCAGCTGCCTGGTAATAAGGCTGATTACAATGAGAAACAGGCATTAGGATATGGGTCATCATCTCTGAACAGTAGGGGCAGTCTTAAGGGAAATGAAATCCACTCTGGTAATTCCAGTAGAAGTAGGGAGATGAGGATGGCTACCAAATTACCAAAGATAGATTTCCCTTATTTTAGTGGAAAAGGGTCAACGAAATGGCTGAGGAAGGCGAACAAGTATTTTTAGATTCATCAGGTGGAGGATGACTTGAAAGTGGGAATCGCATAGATGTATCTAAAAGGGAGGGCTGACATTTGCTTTCTTGGTTTCATCTCCAGCCACCCAACTACTAATTGGGATGCATTGCGAAGGAGATTTGCAGGAGATTTCGGCTGAAGAAATAGTAGAAATGTTCAGTAAATTAAGGCAGAAATGGTCCGTCATGGAATATCAGGAACAATTTGAACGGCTGAAATCTCAAGTAATGGTATCTTTGCCCCACTTACCCAAGTCATATTATATTTCGGTTTTCACCCGTGGTCTGAAAGAGGAGATCAAATCCATGGCCAAAATGATACAACCCTCCACTCTTGCCAAAGCTTTTGAGGTTGGCCTCTTATGGGAGAATACCATATCAGCCTTATACAAAGGACCCAAAACCTTCAAACAACACCTTCAGTCCCCTACGCCAAAGCCAAATGAAGCCACAAATAAACCTAACACCTATTCATAATCTACTCCCAAAAACTCCAACAACCCTCTTAAATTTAAAGCTATTACCCCTACAGATTTTTGGACTGAAAAGGAACTGGAATTGTATTACAAATGCGATGAAAGTATACTAAAGGACACGTATGCAGGAATAAAATGCTCAATTTCATACTAGAAGATGATGAAGGTGACGGGGAGGTAGAGGAGCCACTAGATGGGGTGGAAGAACATATGAGCCAGAGGTGGTGGATGAAGTGATGCAGATATCCATCTATGCATTAGTAGGCAGCCCTGAGGTGAAGATAATTAGACTCCCTAGGATGATTAAAAGAAGAAAGGTGCCAATATTAATTGATAGTGGGAGTACCCACAGTTTCATAGACGAACAATTAGCTTAATCAATCAACTGTAAGATGCAGCAAGAAAAACCCACTTTAGTAACTTTGGCAGGAGGAAGAAAATTGATTAGTAAAGCAGTGTGTAATCCACTAGTCTGGAGGTTGCAGGATTCGGAATTTCAGTTTCAGCTGAGGGTGCTTAAATTGGGAGGAAGCGATATGGAACTTGGAGTGGATTGGCTAAGCCAATTTATCCCTGTGTTGTTTGATTTTGTTAAAGGAGTATAACTTTCGACCGTGAGGGTACAGAAATTAAGCTCTAGAATGAAGCAATCAGAGAAGAATTCCAGATGATGATTGGTAATGGAAAGAAGAGTGAATTCAAAAAGCAGCCTTGTTGTATAGAGGCTCCGATCTCTGCCATTGCTGAGAGAGAACAGGAACCCATGGTAGCTGAACTTAAGGCAGTAGTGAATCAATTTCCTATGGTTTTCCTAGAACCCAAGGGATTATCATCAACACGGTTTAATAATCATCATATACCATTGAAAGAGGTTGCACAACCATTTAAAATCAGGCCATACAGGTGTCATTATGTTCCAAAAGGGGAGATTGTAAGGATGGTGAAGGAAAATGGAATCATAAGGGCCAGCAATAGCCTCTATACATCTCCTGTCCTGCTAGTGAAAAAAGAAGGATGGCACATGGAGGTTTTGCGTGGACTATAGATGGCTGAATAGTCTCACCATTAAGTATAAATATTCCATGCCAATCATAGATGAATTACTAGATGAACTAAAGGGAGTAAGATGGTTTACAAAAATCGATTTGAAGCTGGGTATCACCAAATTAGGGTGCAGAAGAAGACATCCATAAAATAGCCTCAAAACACATGAAGGCTTGTATGAATTTAGGGCAATGCCATTTGGGTTTACCAATGCTCCTGCAACCTTTCGATTCCTGAAGAATAAAGTATTCAAACAGTACCTTAGGAAATTTGATTTGGTATTCTTCGATGACATACTCGTTTATAGCCAAGACCTAAAATCTCATTTTGAACATGTCACTGTGGTACTGGAGCTCCTCAAAACACCACCAGCTTTTTGCTAAAGAGAGTAAATGTTCCTTTGGGAAGTTCAAAATAGAGTACTTAGGGCACATCATCTTTGCAGGAGTAACAACTGACTATTCAAAGATTGCAGCAATGCAGGAATGGCCTAAACCAACTAACATCTAACAATTAAGGGGATTTCTAGGCCTAACTGGTTACTACAGGAGGTTTGTAAAGGGCTATAGGGCCATAGCCAAACCCTTGACTGAATTACTGAAGAAAGACAACTTTAATTGGAGTGAAGCTGCTGATATGACTTTTCAGGAATTAAAAAGGGCTATGAGTGCCACACGCGTATTAGCATTACCAAGCTTCTCCTTACCTTTTATAATCGAAACTAATGCATGTTATAGAGGGATTGGGGCTGTCCTTATGTAGAACAGGAGGCCCTTAGCATATCAAAGTAAAGGCGTAAGTAGCAAGAAATTAAGCCTATCTATCCATATATGAAAAGGAGCTATTGGCATTGGTCACAGTAGTGAGTAAGTGGAGACACTATCGTGAAGGCCCCCACTTCATTATTAAAACAGACCACCAATCACTCAAGTACCTATTGGAGCAAAGAATTACTATTCCTCTACAACAGAAATGGTTATCCAAGTTGTTGGGGCTCAGCTATGAAATACAGTACAAACAAGGAGTGCAAAATCACGTGGCAAATGCTCTATCTAGACGGGAAGAAAAAATTTTAGAGTGCATGGCAATCACTGAATTGCATTCTGAATTTTTAATTGAAGAGCTGGGTGTTGAGAATATCGATTGGAATCTGTCTGTGTCATTGAAATTTACAAGTTTTGGTTGAGAATTTCAGCTCAACCATTACAGATAGCAGAATATTCTGTTCATTGTAAATATGTTGATGAATCTGAGATTGGAATCTTTAGAGGCTGATGACAGGTGTATAAAAACTACAAATTATTTGAACTTCTGTTGCACACCTACATGAATATATGCATAGTATTGATGCCATGTTGATTTTCTTTTCACCTCTTGTTTGTTTTGCTTTCAATGAACATCTTCAGACAAGTCGCAAATAAATCTTAGAATTTGTTATTAATATCTCAAAATTTTCTTCAACAGGGATGCGTATGGGTTTGCAGTGAGACCTCAACACTTGCAAAGATACCGTGAATATGCTAATATTTACAAGGTTTCTTTTCTGTTTGAACCCTCTCTTTGGCAGCTAAAATAAAATAAAATTAGCAGACAAGCTCATTTCTCCTTCCCCATCCCCTTCCCCCACTCTTGGGTATACTCATTAACCAGTATAATATTGCACTTTTATGATGGCTTTAGGAGGAAGAGGAGGAGAGATCAGATAGGTGGAAAGACTTTTTGGAAAGGCGAGCTGAGTCCCCACATTTGCCCGACAAGTTATCTGAAAATGATATAAAGTTGAAGATTGTATCACCCAAGTTCAAAGCTGATTCTATTTCCGAGAATGATGATTCTACTTGTGAGAAGCCTAATTCTGACAGTTCATCTGAAGAAAAGAAAGAGGTACTATCTGCACCAGAGATAAAAGTTCATCGAGTCCAATTATGGACGGAGATCAGACATTCTCTTTGCATTATCGAGGATATGATGAGTGCTCGTGTGAAAAAGAAGGTCAACTCAATAAAAAATGAAGGGGACTCTGGAACAAGGAAACATCTTCCTACAATTGAAGAAGCTAGACCTGGCAAAGGAGCATCTGAAGAGGACTCCGATGAAGAGTTTTATGATTTGGAGAGGTTAGAATCAGATCCCAATCTAGACATCCCTTCAACTGACAGTATCAGTGTCCCAACTATGGGTGCTGCTGGTGATTCAGCTGTTCCAGATTTACAGCCTCCTTGGACAGAAGAATTAGAATGTCTTGTTCGAGGGGGAGTCCCAATGGCTCTAAGGGGAGAGGTAGATTGGACATTCTTGTATGATCTTTATACACTTTTCCTTGCATAATCTTTGTTTACTCCTTTTAACTTGAATTTACAGCTTTGGCAAGCCTTTGTGGGTGTAAGAACACGCCGGATGGAAAAATATTACCAAGAATTGCTTGCTCCAGATGCAATTTCTGGTAACAATTTGGAAAGTAAATCAGCGGAATTGGATGACAATAGTCACGAGTCAAGTACAGATGTAACTGAGAAATGGAAAGGACAGATTGAGAAGGTTTATTAATGAATTTCTGCTTTGAATTTGTGTTGTCACTTCACTTCCTAGAGTCCTTTTGTTTATTTTAGTGTAATGCCATCAGATGCCCAACTTTATTTCCATATATGCAGGATTTGCCTCGAACATTTCCAGGCCATCCTGCTCTGGATGAGGATGGAAGAAATGCTTTGAGGCGTTTACTTACAGCTTATGCTAGGCATAATCCCTCTGTTGGCTACTGTCAGGTATTTCTAGATTAATAGGTTATTGCATTTAAGAAAATAATGGAAATCCCTTTAATGTTGAGGCTGTTCTCATATATTTGCATTCATTAAATCCCTCCCAAAATTAAGATAATTGTTATCTCTTGATGCCTCATGGTTTGATCATTGAATGAATGATGATCTTCAAACACTTTAGCCAGATATTTTTCAAATTTTCTTATAACGTAAAAATTATGCACACAATTATCTTTGCTCTATCCATTGTTACTTTTACCAAATAAATTGTTTCTCCGCGGTGTTTGTATCCCGAGAAGTTCTTCTAGTGAATATATTGCATTTCAGATGAAATCACTGGATCAACTCCACCATCATGGATCTCTATTATTCCTGTCATACCATACTGTACAAGTGTAACTATCTCATCTGTCACCCCTACCAAGAGTCCTAGTGTTGAAGACAGGAGCTCCATGATTTAATATGTTCCCTTACTACTCTTAGATTGGAAGTATCTGACAGGAAGCAATTCATTTTTCTACTGAAGCAATGATTTTGAATCTGCATAGCCGTGTTTGCCTGTTTCCAACTTTACTTATCACGCTTCGAATATAATCTGTTATCCCAGTGTCTAGTGCATTATTGATGCTTATTTATAATTTTTTGCAGGCTATGAATTTCTTTGCTGGCTTATTACTGCTTCTGATGCCAGAGGAAAATGCGTTTTGGTCAGTTTTTATCTTGGCTATGAATAATCTTTTGTGTGTCACTTTTAATCCATTGAGAAAAATTCCTACAAATATAATGAATACGTACAATTTTATCAATTTATAAGAGAACATTTTTTTTTAATCTCTTTATGCATTATGTTAATGTTTTGGGACTTGTCTGGATCCAAAAATCTCTTTCTTTTTCTCATGTCTTCCTTCCAGGACTTTAATGGGTATTTTAGATGACTATTTTGACATTATTGATGCTTATTTATAATTTTTTGCAGGCTATGAATTTCTTTGCTGGCTTATTACTGCTTCTGATGCCAGAGGAAAATGCTTTTTGGTCAGTTTTTATCTTGGCTATGAATAATCTTTTGTGTGTCACTTTTAATCCATTGAGAAAAATTCCTACAAATATAATGAATACGTACAATTTTATCAATTTATAAGAGAACATTTTTTTTTTATCTCTTTATGCATTATGTTAATGTTTTGGGACTTGTCTGGATCCAAAAATCTCTTTCTTTTTCTCATGTCTTCCTTCCAGGACTTTAATGGGTATTTTAGATGACTATTTTGATGGCTACTATTCAGAAGAAATGTTAGAATCTCAGGTAATTGTTTCACATTGTCTTTTTCTTGCCAGCACTTTCATTAGATTCATTTCAAATATGAGTTTCCTCTTGAACCAAATATCTTGTCAAAACTGCACATATAAAATTGGAAGAATTTGTTCCGTCGATTTATGTCTTGTTAGGTCGACCAACTTGTTCTTGAGGAGTTGGTGCGTGAAAAATTTCCAAAATTGGGTTCGTCTCTTTCTCTTTCTCTCTTTCACTCTCTTGTTTCTTTTAGTAACTATTAGCCTGGCCTAACAAAGGTTTATGCCAATCACATATTTTTTGTTTCTCATTATGTGTTTGCTGCAGTAAATCATCTGGATTACCTGGGAGTACAGGTGGCGTGGGTTACTGGTCCCTGGTTCCTCTCTATATTTATGAATATGCTTCCATGGGAAAGTGGTCAGGTTCTTATCTCAATCATGCAAGATATTGACCAAATTTTTTTATTACCTGCTGATGCTTGCTTATAGTTGGTCTTTGTATTCGTATTTTTCTCATCAGTGTTGACTTTGTCGTCTATTTAAATAATCTGAATCATGATGAGTCTTATCTGCCTCCAGTTCTTCGAGTCTGGGACGTGCTTCTATATGAAGGGAATCGTGTTATGCTATTCCGGACAGCACTTGCTTTAATGGAATTATATGGTACTTGGTTAGCAATATCTTTAGTTTATGAATTCGTTGTAAACTTCAACAATTCTGTCATCTGCATATGATATACATACATGTTATGTTTTTGGTTGATATTCGGGATAAAGTTTAATTATGTTGAGTCTTGTGAAGGACCTGCATTGGTTACAACGAAGGACGCTGGAGATGCAGTCACACTGCTGCAATCTCTAGCTGGCTCGACATTTGATAGCAGTCAACTTGTCTTGACTGCTTGCATGGGTTACCAAAATGTTCATGAAACACGGTTACAAGAACTGAGAAATAAACATCGACCGGCTGTCAGAGCTGCACTTGAAGAAAGATTGAAGGGAGTACGAGTTTGGAGGGATTCCAAGGGTCTAGCTTCAAAGCTATATAGTTTCAATCACGATCATGATTCCATGATGGTGGGAACTGATAAATCAGAAGAATTGGCTGCACGGACAAATGGTGACACAACCTACCTAGACTTGAGCTTGAATGGGGATGTAGAGATAGATTCTACTAAAGATCTTCAAGAACAGGTAGCTTATAATATGATCTTTTAATGCACAACTCATAATCTCCATATGCTGATTTTTACTTTCTTTTCACGTACCATCATGCGTTTGTCACTCAAATTCTTGGTGCTTTATGTCACCCTGGTGTTGACTCTCTCTCTCTCATATCCCCCCATCATCTCTGTAACTGACACCAAAAAAAAAAAAAAAAAAAAAAAAAAAGTTGTTAAGCAGAGTGTAGGTGGTCCACAGATTGTGAAAGCAAGGATCACGTGATCAAATTTCATCTGGTTTGGTTCTGTAGTACTGGAGTCTTATGTAGTGTACATGATGGTGTTGATGTTGATCTGTTCAAGGGAGTGTCAACATGATTTATGTAGTGTACATGATAGTTAAATGAATTTACCAACTTTGTTCAGGTGGTGTGGCTGAAGGTTGAGCTGTGCAAGTTACTGGAGGAAAAACGATCAGCTGAGCTCAGGTAAGTACAACAATAATAGGTTGAAACTATTATTTCAAAATAGCTCATATCAAGCATAATTAGGTCTTATTGGGAGAGAAACTATCTTGTTGCAAAATGAATCTCCATCTATTTTTATTTTTATATTTTTTTCCCCTTGGTCAAATAGTGTGGCAAAATAGGAATAGCTGATCCCAGATTTAGCTCCCGTTTGGCCCCCATTTTTTCGAATTAAAATGGGTGGAATAATATTTTTTTAGACAATGAGTGGTTGAAAAAGAAGGAAAAGTTTCGGTTTACTTGTAATTTTATTTTATGAAAGATTGTGTGATTGAAAATAGGAGAGAGAAAAATGAAATTTAATTTAATGGGGGCCAAACGGGGGCTTATTAGGAACAATTTTTAGTCCCAATTTGTTTTAGCTAAAAAAGCTAATTAAAATCTAAGTCAAAGTCAACAAAAACAACACATTTAACGAGACTCACAACATTTATCAACTTTTGGGCCCCATATTTCATCAACTTTTACCAAAATCTACTAAAAGACAAAACCAAACATGAGCTTAGTTTTATTGTTTCTGCTGTGAATATTGTTTCTCGCTCTGGATGATTGAACATGCTGTCCAATTTTTCAATCTTGACATTTCTTGTGTTGATAGTGAACAAAACTCACTTATATTTATCATCCTTAAAAACATCAAAGTGATCTCCTACTCCATACTTTTTCCCTATCGAAATAGGCAGTTATGACTCAATGCATTTATGATCTGTTGTTGTTTTTAATTCAATTTCTACCACCAGAAAAGGATCTAAAATTTATTTTTGGAATTTTATATAACTTTACCTGTATAATTGTTGATGATTGTGTTGAAAATCAACTTCGTAAATATTTGATATATTATATAGATAAGAGATTCAAGAGAGATCATACTGCCGACCTATGTATTATGGTTTTTGCAATTAGTATGGGTGTGATTCTGATTTTGAAGCTGTTTCTTAGTGTGGTCTTGAATAGTACTACATTATTGAAATTTTGTAAGCAACAATCATGAAAAATTGTAGCAGTTTTATTGCTATTGCTTTATTGCTCTAACTGAAATAATTTTCCGTAGTTAAGTTGTGCCCCACTAAACCCAGTTCCTGGCTTTGCCATTATCTCCATGTGTAGCATCAAGTCCCATATCTAAGAATGGAGCATGGAACTTGTCATTTATTTTAAAATCTTACTTACATTGTTCCAATGCTTGGGATTGAAGTTCTGTTTTCGCTCATTGCTGAGAATATCGGTACTTTGGATTACTTCTCTTGATGTGTATGCATTTGCTGGTGTAAAGTACACTGACAAGTGTTGAAATAAAATTAAAGGAATGGTTTTGCACATGGTTTCCCTTGTGTCTTAAAGCAATATTCTGGCAATTATAGATGTCAATATACAAGAGTTTCCAAGTTCGTGTACAGTAGAGTTTCTGTTCCGTGGCCAATTCCCACCTGTGTGAAATCCTTGAGAGTAATAATAACTAGTAGGAAAGTGAATTCTTGATGATTATCATACTCTTCTGCCAAATTAGATAAATTGCTAGCTCACAAGTTGACATCAGTTGATTATCATCTCTTTTGATCAAGAAAAGCACTAAATACCAATCACGGCAAAATCTTTCATCATTTTTTTGGTTATCTGGTGTAGAAAGGGACCCATCTTTTATGGTAAAAAGTGAAGACTAAATCTGCCAGCTTTGAAAATTCTGAGCAGATTGTCAATAATGGTTTTCTCTCTGCTTGTTTGAAAGTCTTTCATGACAAGATAAAAATTTAATGTTCACGGTCTAGAGATAATCTTAAAACGCCCTAAATTCATAAAATTTAGAAACGTTTACGTATTTTTTTCTTTTCATTTTATTTCTTCTGGGGAACATGATGATTCTTAATTTCTGGAGTGCTGATATTTTGTGTTTACTTCCTATTTACAGAGCTGAAGAACTTGAAACTGCACTAATGGAGATGGTTAAGCAGGATAACCGGCGACAATTGAGTGCAAGGGTAAGTAAGAAGTTAAATGAGCTCGTGTATGTGTTTTGGAGTATTTACACGAGCGTTTGTTTTTGTAAAATATCTATCAGAATAGTTAAGAGGATGTGGTGTTCAGTTGACATAATTGTGTTTCAACATGAATTTTTCTGTGAACCATCTTCATAGGAAATTTCTATAGTGGTTTCACAGTGTAACTAATTACAATATCTTTGATTGGATAAGCTGTATGGCTACTATATATGGCTTTCATATTTTCTATACTGTAGCTATTACATTGTCAGACAAAATCACACTGAAACCTTGGAATTATATGGTCCCCCTCAGTTAAAATAACATTTTGGTTTAAAATGCATGTGTCCTTTGAATTTATTTATTATGTCCCGCGAGTCCTGCTATTTTACTTTGTCTTTAGGTAAATTTGGTACATCCTGAATTGTAATCTTTACAGCCTGGGATCATATAAGAGAGAAAAAGGGAAATACCATGTAATTATTTTCTCCCAATTTGATATGAGTTTCCCCTCTTGTGTTACTTCGTCATCCTATTTTCTCCTCAATATTTGTGTCTGACCTGAATCTTTTCATTTTCAGTTGAAATTTCTTCATAACTTCTGTTATAAAATCCTAACTTGTCTTTCAACTCATTTACTTTAGCATTCACTGGGAAAAAACCTTGCTGGGATTGACAACCTGACGGCTTTCCTTCTCCACAAATCTTGTGAATTCATTCCATTCTCCACCTTAACTATTAACTATTGGCTAAATAGCATGCTGCAAATTCAATCCTGCTGGTCTGTCTTTATTTAATTTTGTAGGATTCTGATCCGTGCTTTCATAGAAATTTAGTGAAATTTGGTCTCTGTTAATTTTTGCTTCCTTTTCGAAATAAATATAACGTTCTTTTAGCATGGGAAATAAGGAGAAAGGGCCTTTTTTGCATTGCAACCCTTAAAAAAAGTTTGTGCTTCTAAAATATGCTTTGTGACTTGGCCTTGATATTTGTATCATCCGACCTGATGGCTGATTTTCTGCTCTTAACTTTAGGTTGAGCAATTAGAACGAGAGGTCACAGAGCTACGGCAGACCCTTGCCGATAAGCAGGAGCAAGAAAATGCCATGCTTCAGGTAGCATTGTTGCTATCTACTCAATGATGTCACTGATGATTGTCTCCTGTTATTCTTTAGTTAACCATGCCATGCATCTTTGATTTCTTTCACAGATATTGATGAGGGTCGAACATGAACAGAGGGTGACAGAGGATGCTCGCAGATTTGCTGAGCAAGATGCTGCTGCTCAAAGAATTGCTGCTCAAGTGCTTCAGGTTTCTATCTCCTGTGAGATTTTTTGTGCGCTACATCATACCAGTTAATGTGTACTATCGTTTGATTTTTAATTCCCCTGCTATTAAGCCCCTGTTTGGCACCCTTTAAAACTCTTCAATTTAATTTATTTTTTCTCTCCTACTTTCAACCATACAATCTTCAATAAAATAATATTACATTCAAATCGAAAACTTTTCAACCACAATTTTCAAAAAAAACACTATTCCCCCATTATAAATCCAAATAATGGGGCCCAAATGGGGGCTAGATTGTAGAAGTATTTATGCAATGTACGTTCTTAGGTTACTATTAATACGCAGATCACCCTAGTCCCTTAGTTTTTCTTATTCAGTTTTCAATTTTTTAGTTTCATAGGAAGAGACGTACTTGTTTACTGGGCCTGTGTTCTTCATTTGCTCCTTTACATAGCAATCTGGCTCAGGATTAAATGGTGGGTGCGTACACAAACATATGGGGAAGAGAGACAGATGTAAACATATAGCCTATGTTTGGTCTCCATTTTTTCAATAACTCATTTTTCAAAATTCATTTTCAACCACGCTCTCCCATATAAAATAATTTTACATGTAAATTCAAAACTCTTCGTTACTTTTTAACCTCACATTCTCCAACGAACACTATTCTAAAATGCATTTTGACCAAAAATTGGGGCTCAAACAAGGGTATATGTTATATACCATTTTTTATGAAAAATAAATTAGAACACAAATATTTTATTGATCCAGAAAATTTTCTTCTAGGAAGGGCGAGCAAAGAAAGGACTGGTTATTCCGGCAAGAAAATTAGGTTATTACAAAACAATTTTTTTGGCTCTATAGTTTTCTTCTAATACTCTTTTATATACCCATGACAAGAAAAAGAATGAGAGAGAGAGAGAATATTCTATTTAAAATGAATATTTGCAGAAAGTTGTCTATTTTTTTTTTCTCTCCATATCACTAGAAGAATGCTTACTTGTCGTTTCAATACTCATGTACTTTTCCTGTGCATGGTTCTGGTGACTCTGTTCCTGATGGTCATAATGGTAACATAATTGAAATATGGTCAGCTGCACAATGAAGCAACAGCTGATTGGTAGGTTGTTCATCTTCTTGTGAAGCCAAGATGGTTTACATAGATTTCATCCCTCTTTTCGATTATAATAAGGAGTCAGAATACTTTCTGGGTCTCCTTCCATGTTAGACACTAAAATAAAATAAAAGAAAAAATAAAGAAAGCCCTCGTGGATATTGTCTTCCAATTTTTTTGTAGTGCCTCCATTGTCACTATTGATTAAATAGTATTGCAATCAGCTTAGAATTCTATCCACGATAATTTTATCCCACCTTAATAGTTGTAGGTACGGGTAGGAATGGTCCTGCTCAATATTGGTTTGGGCAAGAACCTAATTGAACCGGTAAGAAAAAAATCAGTTGCTTTCATAAAGAATTGATAGGTTATCTGTGAAATAGGAGAACCGAACTGGTCACACTGGCCCTATGTGGTTTGATCAACTGTAAAAACAAGAGGATGGATTTCACATAGAACTGAAGCAAAAGAAGTATGTCAATGATTCAACCTGTTTATTTCCCTATAGTCAGACCAATGGGCCTGTCTTGTTTGTAACTGGCACGATTCATCCAATTTCAGGTAATTTTTTGCACCCCTGAATGTAGCTCTTCCTTCATGGCTAAGAGCGTAGGACAGCTGTTGATTCAGTACCATGGTTATTAGAATTTGACTAGACTTGCTGGTTTGACCTGAAACTCGGTGATCCAGTTAACAAAAACCAATCTGAGTTGGTTTTTTGGACTGGATTGCAATCAAAGACTCTTAACCTGACAAACCCTAGCCATTTTAAAAGAACAAGCAATGTAAAATAATCAAAACAGGACTGGTTTGTTAATATTATTCCCATGCTTCTGTAAGTTTTGATCTGGGGAGCTGTGAATTATGCTTACCGCTTTTCCCTCTGCTATTACGGTTTGTTGTTTGTATTTTCGATTAAAAAAATCTGGAGAGAGAGAGAGAGCATGAAGGAAGAAAATATGTGGTCATATTTATGCATCATTTTTTTCAGAGGTATGTATTTATTTAGATTCACAGTTAGACTAGTTGCCCACCAATTGAACCAATCTAGTGACTCGATGCTTTGTTTTGGTCAATCAGCTGGGTTGGGTTTGATAACCATGTCAGTTTTCTTGATCAGACAAGACTTTATTTTCGATTATTTGGTAATTTGTCTTGTGCTGCTTGCTTCAACAATTTCAAATTGGGTGTTCTGATAAATGAGTTCCTGTATGTTGCTGTGATGACCACGCACAGGAGAAATATGAAGAAGCTACTACTGCACTGGCCGAGATGGAAAAGAGGGTGGTCATGGCAGAATCTATGTTGGAGGCTACATTGCAGTACCAGTCTGGCCAAAACAAAGGACAACCATCCCCACGGTAAACTGTAATTTTGTAGATTTGTTCTTGCCTTGATGATATCTCACTTGCATGGTGCTGTTCCATTCTTTTTGGTGGCTTTATGATAAAGTCCTTGCACGTTATGTTGGAAAAAGCATTCTATGCTTCCACATTTGTTACAATACTGAGTATGAGTGCACGTGGCAGATCAACACAGCAAGATTCTTCTCCTGTTCGAAGTAATCAAGATTCACAGGACTCGTCAACAAGGAAGATTAGTTTGCTATCTCGACCATTTGGACTAGGATGGCGTGACAGGAACAAGGTCAGTAACAAACCCCCTTTTCACGTTATGTGTGACATACAATTCCCTTCTTGTCCGGTACACTAAGATCCATTTTTTTCCGGGGCTACTAATTTTTGTGCTTATTTTCATGGTGGTTTGTAATTACGCCTCCCGCAATTTTGATATGATGTTATGTTTTCTAAATCACGAATGTCAATTGCATTCTTCTCTTCATTGCTCAAGAACAGACAATTCTGTCGTATTGTTTTATGTGCTTCAAATTGTTAATTTCACATTGTGTTTTAACGTAACATTTTTTGTGGACGAAAACTCTAGGGTAATTTTGTAACAAGTACCAAACTGCATTATAGATGTAATGAAATCTATAGAAGACAATTCAGTTATTTCTTTGTGTTTTTATGGTGCATAAAATACTTGAGCAAATCACTTTGATTTGGTGCACTTCACTAACAATGATAGGGGACAAAATCCAATTCAACAGGGGAAGCCCAACACTGTCGAGGAAGCAAACAGCAGCAAATCTTTAAACGAGGAGCATTTTTTAAGCTCTCCACCGGATGAAAAATCTTCGAGGGATGGACATGGTTCAAACACTTGGCAGGAAGAGAGTAATGATCATCAGAAGGATGAAAAGGCAAATGATTCATAATCTGACTCCCTCATTTGCTAGGTAATGAGTTCCTTCCAGGAACAATACAGAATTATTCTTTATATCTTTTCATTCTCTAAGCTTCTGCCCTTTATCAATTTATTGTTTGTTTCATTAATCGATTGGCAATAATGGTTTGGGAAGCAAACAAATGTAAGAGGAAGAAACATGAGTTTTAGGTTAAGGCAAGTGTATAATCTACATGTTGAGAGTTCATGTACTAGTACTACAATCTTTATCTTTATAATTTATAATAACAGTTGTTGGATAGAAATTATCATTACATACTTGAAATCTCACTTATCAGATTTCATCGTTGATTTTTTTTTCTAAAGAATTCGCCATGATGTACCTAATCCATGCATAATATTATGAAAAATGAATACAAAATTTTGACTGCTACTTAGCATCGACAATAGGTCTAAAAGAGTATCTAAGACAGGAGTTGCTGGTGTATTGGGTGCTACTATTCTATGTTCTATTCATGTTGCTACCATAGAAAATACTTTATTTGAATATGGTAATGGTGCAAATACATTCCAAGCTTTTAATTCAACTCAAGCTGAAGAAAATTTTTCAACGGTTATCATTAACCGCTTTTGGTCCCAAATTTTTGGGTTTGCTTTTTCCAATAAACGTGCAGTCGTCTGATATATTGGGTCATATGTGATTTTCCCGTTCTCTTCCACCGATCAAGATATCCTCAGTTCCGCCCAAAAAACATAAATTGAATCATAAAAAAAGTTTGAAGCATGAAGGGCACGATTAGATCCAATATTTTGGGGATTCACATTACTATTATCAATTCAAATAATTTGATGATAATGCATTACACTATAAATGCATCCTTTGCTCATTTCCATGGAAGGTAAATGATAAATCACGTTAGAGTTACCATATGAAATTATACTTGCTAGGAAAACTTATTATGATAATGAATAAATTGTATGTGTAAAGATAAATGCTAACAAGCCACAGTTTTTCAATATAAAAATCAGATAAGTTGCAGATCAAATATGGCATAATTGAGTATTTATAGAGTACAAAGATTTGAACGAATGTGAAATGAATAATCAAAACCAGCTACAGTTGAAACTATCTTATACTTTGTCAAATAAAGAATCGTTCAAAGCAATGATTTTGAAGCTGCAAAGACCGGCCGGTTCAACTGGAAAATTGACAACGGGTACCGTTACCTATGAAAAACCATTTAATTAAGAACCGGTGTGGTTCACCCGGTTGGCCGGTTGGTTTTCTTAGAAAAGAAATTGGTTACAAAGCTAAATCTTCTTCATTACCTTTGCTTCGCTGTAAGCTTCTAATTCAAGATTTTTCCTTTCGGTTTTCTTCTTCTTTCCCCCTGAATTTGTTGCCCTTCTCCACCGCATTTCCCCATCTCTTTTATACAGTTTATAGCCCGTAAAGAATGAAGAGAACCAGGATTTATGCCTTGGAACTTCCTTGTTTTGACCTAGAACTCTCCCTTCGTGGTCTTTCATACTCTATTATTATAGTTATTTTTTGTTTTTTTATTGGATAAATATATAGGGTAATTGGTGCAAAACGTCCCTACCTTTTGAATGTATTGTGAAAAACGTTCATACCTTTAATTTTTTTTTGACATTTTTGTCCCTATTTCCACATTTTTTTGCGTCAAACATCCCTTTCACTGTTTTTTAGTGTAAAATGACCAATATGCTATTCTATTTAAATAAAAGAAAAGAAAAAATTGCAACTATAGGCGAAACTTCTAAAAAAGTTTAAATCCCCCCCCCAAACTTCACGTTCTTCCTACACCTCAACCCCATGCCGCCGCTACTTGTCGGTCATTTTCAACCACCTTCCGGTCAGTTTGGCCGTCGGACCAACATACCAACTTGAAGCTCTCACTTCCCTCTTTACAACCCACCCAACCACTAGTCGAAAATCTAAAGGAATTGGCCGAAAAATCGTGCCAAAATAGGCTGCCCACGCAACTTCAACAGCAAAATCGACAAATTCAACTCCATTTTTTGGCACCGACGTTATGATTGACGACGGTGGACCACCCCTCCTAGCACCGCCTTTTCAAGAAGAAACCTAATGAACCTATGGGTCATCGTCAATTTTAACCAGAAATTGTAGAATCGAGCAATTTGTTCAACAACTAAATTAGCAACTTCAAACACATTTTTCGACATCGACGTCACGTTCGACGATCACGGACCACCCCTTCTAGCACCGCCTCTTCAAGGCGAACCTAATGAACCCATGGGTCATCGTCAATTTTGGCCAAAAATTGTAGAAACAGCCTTGACAGTTAGTACACAAAAAAACTCAACCAATCCCCTTTCCATTGATGATGCTACAGGGCTTCAATCCACCAATTCTAGCATGTAATCTTCAATTAATGTTGTCCCAACTATGGGTCCTCCATCCATTGCATCAATTCATCAACCAAACAATCAATTTTCAAGATTGAACTCAAGAACTACCGGCCGAACGTGAACTCCGATTTTCTGGCTGTATATTTTGATTTTCAGCTATGTTTGATGATATGAAGACATATATAGGAGCACAATAAGGAGCATAATCGAACTGGAAGATGGGTGTGCCATGGGTGTCGTTGGAAATGGAGTTTCCGGCCTCCATTTTTGGCTGTTTCATGTTGCGTGAGCAGCCTATTTTGGCTCAATTTTTCGGCCAATTCCTTTAGATTTCTGGGCAGTGGTTGTGTAGGTTGTGAAGAGGAAAGTGAGGGCTTCAAGTTGGTATGTTGGTCAGGCGGCCAAGCTTATCGGAAGGTGGCTGAAAATGGCCGGTAAGTGGCGATGGCGTAGGGGTGAGGTGTGGGAAGAAGGTGGAGTTTTGGGGGGTATTTGCACTTTTTTAGAAGTTTTGCCTATAGTTGCAAATTTTTCTTTTCTTTTCTTTTTTTTTTTTATTTAAATAGGAGGGCATATTGGTCATTTTGTACTAAAAACAGTGAGAAGGACTTTCGATGCAAAGAAATGTGGAAATAGGGGCAAAAATGCCAAAAAAATGAAAGGTAGGAACGTTTTCCACAATACACTCGAAAGGTAGGAACGTTTTGTGTCAATTATCCAAAATATATATGTACAGAGGGGGGTTTATCGAATGGTGTCCCCCTCTCATAATGTATGGAGGACCCCATGTGTATTTAAAAATGACGGCCCATGGTTCCCACCCCTGTTGTGAGTAGTAGATAAAAGATTCGATAAAAAAATTCGATACGTGTAGTATTGTCCTTTTTTATTTTATTAGTTTGACTAATTTAAGTTGCAAATTCAGTTATAAACATTAACTACAATAGTACATACGTTAATCAGCCTAGTTAATAATATTAAACAGAAATAAGAATAACCATTAGTTGCACTAAGGAGTAGGTGTGGTTGATTGAATAGTGTAATTTGCTTTTATTTGTAAACTTTTATGATGTTTAAAAATATAACTGAACCCTCGACTCCTGACTCTTTATTTTTTCTCAATATTGATTTTTGGTCCAGTTTTGAAAACAATAATTGGTTCCAACCATTTGCCCAAATGAGTATTCTTCTGTTGTGCCTCCTGAAGATGGAGCTTGTGAGGGAAGTACACAATCTAATCCTTAAGGAGAAGAAATCTAGCTCGGGAAGTGATTTGGTGACCCGAAGAGAACCACTTTGAACTTAACCAGGAATGAAATGAAAGTCAACTTGTTTCATTCGTAAATGAAAACCTGGATTAGAACAAAGTTGAGTATCCCAATATTGTCATAGTTAACAACTGGATTTGTGGAGAGTGGTGTTCGCTAAAATTATAAACTGCAAGAGCACGGTGCGTTCAAATAATAAAGTGGATGTTGATTCCGAGTTGATCTCTCAAAGAGTGTTTCTTCTAATTACAAGACACTTGATTCAAATTAACAATAAAGACACAAACAATTAAAATTCTTGAAATTAGAAATGAAA